GACGCAAATCTTAAAAATAAACATAAAAGCCAGAGAAATAAAAGATTTATCATCGAACAGAGAAAAATAAGGTGATTGATAAAACCATGGATAAGCAAGATTGGGGGAACATTTAAGAGTCTTTGTTTTCCTATCAAAGGAACTATTCTTCACTAGAAACCCTGCTCTCAACATGTCAATAAACGAGTGGGTATAATACAAGAAAATTACATTCCTGACGAATACAAACCATGGAAAGGGTGAAGAATGTATAATTTTTATATCGAGCCGTATTCGGTAGATCGTGTCTATTTTGTGAAACTACAGATAATATTAAGCGAAGTTCGCATGCTACTAAGAATTCACGTATAAGGTTAGACCGCTGTACGTGGAGCTTCTCTATGACGAACAGGAAATGAATCAAAGTAATTGATTCTCACTATCATCCAGCGTGTATTAGAATCGATAGTAAGCGACTACGAGTGAACGAGAAAAACATACTAAAATTTATGCTAGATGACGATTCGAACATATAAGGTCTTGGGGTAACGATTCGTCGTTGAAACATCTTGGTTGTAAAACAATTACAGCTACCGGTATAGTCCACTTTTAAGACATGTCCAGTTTGTTAACGGTGTGCCACTTTTAAAACATGTCCAGTTTGTAAAGTGTGTCCACTTTAAAACATGTCCACTTTTAAGACATGTCCAGTTTTAAGAGTGTCCACTTTAAAAACTGTCAGTTTTTAAAAGGCGTCCTCTTTTAAAAGTGGACAACATCTTAAAAAAACTGGAAGACGTATTAGGAAATCATGGCCCTAGCTATATAAAACACCGACTGATAATAGTAAAAGTTAGACTCGACTCTTCCTCCTCCGGTTCCTGTATTTTAAGTGTAGTGTAAGAATTTTTTTTTAATCGGAAGATCGGGAGAATATATATAACTTAGTCATAAGAAAGTTTCATTAGCCAGTGCCAGAATCAATGTAACCGAAGACGAATGGATATCATACATCCTAACAGTTTCTGCAGCAGAAGGAGTATCGGTTAACCACGTCAGCGAACATGAGATATCTCCATCGATACCACTACTAGTATACAGGGACATGCGTTTGTCGGGTCTACAGATTGTCTGAGATACGAAGAAAAGCGATAGGAACCCTCATCGACGGCCTCATGAATGGCTGAAACCGTCAGAATGGCGGCAGACAGGATTTTATGTATCTCAGGAAAGATGACCACGTGCGTGTATTCTTCTGCAGAGGGATAGACCACGCCACAAGAGGAGAACACAACGCCATTTTCCCCAATGTCCCTTTATTAGGGTCAGCCAACTGGAAATGTTCCATTGTTCAAGGCAATATCTAGCCAGGTTACCGTTACTACAATCGAGTCTGGACGATTGCGGATCAAGACGTGTGAGGCCGACGGCTTGCAGATTTTGTCAAGAAATATGGCCGGATCGTATCGAATGCACGTGAGTAGTTTGGTATCTTTTATGCTGATTAGTATTTATGAACCACTGTATATAACTCTTTACCCGTGAGTTCAATCAGATTTATTCCCTGCTATCGCTTCGTCTCACAGGCAGGATTCCGATGAAAACTGGTCCTACCATCATTCGAGACCGAAACGAAGTGATTCACGACACTAGATAGCGATTGAAGAGGCTATGTCGAAGATGGCCATCCTCGGTCGCGTGCACAAGATCTTGCGAAGCTGGATTTTTTTTCTACTGTGCTTAGTACGTTTTTTTTATATATATGTAATATATGCGTTTACGTGTATCGGTAATAGTAGATGTGCATTACAGCGTAAAATTATGATAAACAGCATCAGTCTATTAAGATCTCTGGAATTGATTGCGTTTTCTCTATTCAAAAGAAGCTAAATACTTTTGCAAAAGAAACACAGTTACCGTATTATATACATAGGTCTGAGTGATCATGCTTCGCTGTTTCCACTGCGGTAAGGGTCTTCGCAATTGGATATCTAGCGACATACCTTGGAAGGAAAACGCTAGATGGTACCTAAATGCAGATTTGTCTTATTGAAGAAAGGCCAGGACTATATCATGAAGTATGTATACGCCTCTTTAATTGCATCCTTATTTGCTGGATATTTTTATTAATTGTTGTTTTATTATCGTTATTATTAGATTACTATTACTATGTGTCAACAATGTATAATTTTCTTTAGGTCCAGCGAGAAGATCACCGTCCACCCACACAGCGAGGACGGTATATTCGGGTTCGATAAGCTGATTCGGTAGCAGTACTAATCCAACTGGGAGGTGCCAATCCGTATCGGAACAAGAATTGGATCTGTTGATGAGTTTGGATGTCGTCAAGTGTTGTACTGGAAATGGGATATCCTAGTTGTATAGTCAGGGCCTGCCTTAAGATCGGGTGAACACCGGCGAAACCGTCTTTCGTTAGAGAGCCTTGCCTTGAAGAGGTTCTACAGAGAAGAGCGTTCGTACAGAGAATCGGGTGCAGATAATCGTTCTCGAGAGTAAGAGCGTGAGCCGTCATATGGGAGGCCGATTTTCATCTTCGATATTTCAACAAACAAGCACGATAATTCCATCATACGTCTAAAAACCATGGGAATCGGGCGTTGCAAATATTCAACCGCTTCCATTCGAATCTACCGAGGTTGAACCATTATCGCAAACACACAGGCTCCTATATTTCCATCTACATCGAAATAATACGACAGCAGGCTTCTTATATTCCCTATGCACCTCTGGACTACAAACGTTATCATCATCATTTGAACGAGGAAAATACCGAAACTGAAGGCAAACCATATTTTGCAAATAGTAGAAGAAATCATTATCACAGACTAGTGAGAAGGAGAAGGAGGGATATGCAAGAAAAGGAGGGGATATGAGGGAAAAAGAAGAAGTCAAGGCAAGACAATCTGAACTTGTAAGTATAATCTATATTATGATTGATTATTTAAATTTACTATATAGATGAAACATATGTTACTATTATTATTTTTATTGTGTATTGTAGTTATATCATTCTTATGTATTATCGAAAATTAACACGTGTATTTTAATCATATTTCCATTTTAGACGAAAAACCGATGAAAGAATAACTCGAACGGATGCTGAAGATCGCACAGTAAAGTGTGCATGGACAGTGAAATAGCTATAGTGTTTCTTCCGTGCTCGCATATGGTTACGTGCGGTTTCCTGTGCTGTATCCCTGAGACAGTGCCCCATCTGTAGAAGAGACATCAAACATGTGTGCAGAGCTATTGTATCCTAATAATATTCACATATAACGTGATACTCAGACCACATATACACACGTAATAATATATACGCAATAAAAGTGTTATAAACTCTTAGCAATAAATAACACCGATGATTATAACAAGATAATAAATATTAGTACCTGACAGTGAGAGAAGGCGGAAAAGATATACTATTCGCTATGGTCGAGAACACTAAGTTAAAAAATATCACGATAAACGTGAATATAATTTTAATAACAACGATGCTATAATGAGACCAACGAAAAAACATACCTGACAATGAGAGATATATGGAAAAGAAGACTATCATCAATGGTGGGTACTGAAACGGCACTGACAGAAGCCGGTATCCGATATCGGACACAGATCTTCTGACAGAGGGGACGGCATTAAACGTCGTACAGAGGGACGATGCGTAATAATTAACCCATGCGGCTGAATGAAGCACTCTTGTTAACGTGATACTGCGCACTGGATTATTGATGAAAGGGAATAACCGTAAATCTGAAGAGACTATGGCAGAATATTGTTACATTTCCCTACAGTGAAAGTCGAAGTCAGACCAAAATTGGTGAAACAAATAACAAGTGAGAGGGAGTAATACAAAGAACGACGATCGAGTCCGCTATTGGCGAGAACCTTTAAATACTAGCGACATCTATAACGCGGAATGGCGCGTATGCGTATCAAAGTAGAGCGCTATGCTCTCTGTTGCTCTCTCTTTCCCTCTCTCTGTTGCTCTCTCTCTTACCTATCTCTGTTGCTCTCTCTTTTCCTCTCCTGTTGCTCTCTCTCTTCCTCTCTCGTTGTCTCTATCTCTCTCTCTCCTCTCTCATACCTCTCTCCCTCTCTCTCTCTCTCTCTGTTGCTCTCTCTCTCTCTATGTCTTTTTTTCTCCTCTCTCTGGTGCTCTCTTTCCATCTCTGTGCCCTCTCTCTACTCTTCTCTCTCTCTGTTACTCTCTTTCCTTCTCATGTGCTCTTTCTCTCTTTTTTCTACTCTGTTTGCTTTCTCTCTCTCTTTTTGTCTTTTCTTCTCGGTTTCTCGATATAACTGTTGATAACAGTCTTCATCAAAAAATGCGTGGACCGCTTGCATAGTCGTAATGATGACTGGTGGAACTGCGGAGGAGGGGGGCAGGGGAGGGGGTAACTCATGCACTGCTGCTGAGCTGTTCCTCCCAGGTCGGTGGGTCAGTTGTTCGGTTGCTGTTGTTCTGTTGTTCTGTTTGTTTTTTGAAGCTTTTTTTTTTTTCGTATTTTTTTTTTTTTTACCAAAAAAAAAAAAAAAAAAACGGGGGGGGGGGGGGGGGGGGGGGTGTTACTGTGTAGAAGCTTCAGCCTTGGTTCTTCATGGGCGTGTGTTGGGTCTGACGGCGGGAGGCGTAGGGAACTTGGGGAGGATGGGGGGTCTGTATGGGCCGGGGACTGCTGGCTAGAGCGCCGGGCGAGGGGCGCGCGGATGGCTCAGCAGGAAATGAAGGTCGGCGATCGCAAGGGCGCGAGGCAGCGGCTGCGCTGGCAGGAGAAGAGGGGAAGTCTTTTGGGAGGGGGCACTGCGACGTGGGTATGGGAGTGGAGGGTGTGAGAGGGGTTGGCGGGTGGAGGTAGGAGGGCGTTGGACTGGGGAGGAGAATGTGAAAGGAAGGTTCGAACGTTGTTCTGACACGGTGGGGATGGGAGGTAGGGGGTTCTTGTGTGACCGATCGTCTCAGCTGCTTGCTTTTGGCCTATGATTTGTAATGGACAATTGCTGTTCGGAGAACATCCGAGAGGAGAGACAGAGAGAGAGAGAGGAGAGAGAGCGGGGGGGGGGAAAGAGAGGAGGAGGGAGAGAGGAGGTGGAGGGAGAGAGGGAGGCAGAGAGAGAGAGAGGGGGGGGGGGTAGAGAGAGAGAGTTAGAGAGACAGAGAGAGAGTAGAGGGAGAGGGGAAGAAAAGAAGAGAGAGGGGGGGGGGAGAGGAAGGTAGAGAAAAGATGGGAGGGAGGGGAGAGGGAGGGAGAGAGAGGTAGATAGAAGAGGTGGCAGAGGTAGAGAAAGGGATAGGCAGAGAGAGAGAGGGGGGAGAGGGAATGAGAGAAAGAGAAAGAGAGGGAGGGAAGGGAGGGAGAGAGAAAGGGAGAGATGAGAGACGAGGGCGGGAGGCAGAGAGAGATTAGAGAGAGAGAGGGGGGGGGGAGGCAGGAGAGAAACAGAGAGGTAGAAAGAGATAGAGGAAGTAGATAGAGAGAGAGAAGTCGACAGAGAGATGGGGGGGGTGGAGAGTGAGAGCGTAAAGATAAGAAAGATGGAGAGAGGGAGGAGAGAGAGGTGAGAGAGAGAGAGAGAGAGAGGGTAAAAAATAGAAAGATGGAGAGAGACAGAGAGACAAGATAGAGGAGGGATGGCAGAGCGCGAGAGAAAGAGGGGAAGGTTTTTAGGGAGGGAGAAGAGGTAGAGGAGAGGGAGAGTAAAGAAAGAGGGGGGAGGGAGAACGAGGGGCAGGGGTAGAGAGAGGGGAGGAGGGAGACAGGAAGGGGAAAAGCAGGAGAGAGAGAGAGGGGAGGGGGTAGAGAGAGAGATTTAAGAGAGACAGATGAGAGAGGAAGTGGAGTATGAGGGGGAAGTAGAGAGAGAGAAAGGGGGAGGGAGTGAGGGACGGTTAGAGCGCGGGAGGGAAGGGAGAGGGAAGAGGTAGAACGATGTAGAGAGAGAGAGGGGGGGGAGGCAGAGAGGCTAGAGGAAAGGGAGAGTTAAAAGAGAGGAGGGAGAGGAGAGGAGAGAGATGGGGGGGGGGAGAATGAGAGAGAGAGAGAAAGGGAGGAGAGAGAGAGAGGGGGGGGAGGCCAAGAGGAATAAGAAGAGAGAGAGAGAGAGAGAGATGAGAGAGGCAGGCAGATAGAAGAGAGAGATGAAAAAAAGCACGGTAGACAGAGAGGAGGAAGATAGAGAGAGAGGGGGGGGGAGAGAGATGAGAGAGAGAGAGAGAGGAGAGAAGAGAGAGATGAGAGGAGATAGAGAGAGAGAGAGAGAGACAGACAGTTAGATAGAATATTAAGAGAGAGGTAGATAGATAGATAGAGAGCGAGAGGTAGACAGAGAGGGAGTAGAGAGAGAGAGGGGGGGAGAGCGAGGGAAGAGGGAGTGAGAAAAAGTGATAGGCAGGGAGGAGGGAGCGAGAGATAGAGAGAGAGAGAGAGAGAGAGAGAGAGGTAAAGATAGAAAGATGGAGAGAGAGAGGGAGAGAGAGAAAGAGAGGGGAGGTGTATATATAGAGAGAAGAGAGTGATAGAGAGAGAGAGAGAGAGAGGGAGAGGAGGGAGGTGAGAGCGATGGAGAGGGAAGAGAGGGAGGTAGAGAGAGAGATAGAGAGAGAGGGGGGGCGGGAGTGAGAGAGATGGGGGAGGGAAGGAGGCAGGGAGGGAGAGAGAGAGAGACGGAGATAGGGAGAGAGGGGGAGGGGGAGGCAGAGCAAGGAGTATGAGAGAGAGAGGAGGAGGGAAGGAGGGAGGGAGGCTGAGAGTAGAAAAAGAGAGTAGAGGTAGATAGATAGATAGAAGAGAGAGAGAGGAGAGATACAGAGAGGGAGGTAGAGGGGGGGAAAAAGAGAGGGGCGGGGGGGAGGTGAGGAGGAAGAGGGAGAGTGATGAGAAGTGATAGGGAGGGAGGGAGGGACAGAGAGAGGTAAAGATAAAAAAAGATGGAGAGAGAGAGCAGAGGGAGAGAAAGGGGTAAGGGGGAGAGGAGAGGGAGGTACGAAAAGAGACGAGAGAGAGAGAGAGAGGAGGATGGAGATTAGAGAGGGAGTAGAGAAAGAAGGGGAAGGAGAGAGAGCGTGAGGGAGGTAGAGAAAGAGGGAGAGAGAGAGAGAAAGGAGAAATAGGGGGGATGGAGGGAGGTTAGAGAGAGGGAGGGAGGGAGGGAGGGAGAGAGAGAGAGAGAGAGAGGGAGAGAGAAAAGAGAAGAAGAGAAGAGAAGAGAGGCAGAGAGAGAGAGAGAGGCAGAGAGAAAGAGGAGGTTAGATGATAGATAGAGAGAGAGAGTAGAAGAGGGAGTGAGGAAGGAAAGAGATAGGGAGGAGAGAGAGGAAGGACAGGAGAGAGAGTGAGGGAAAGAGGTAGGCAGAGAGAGAGGGGGGAAGGAGAGAGAGGGGGAGGGTGGGAGGGAGGTAGAGAGGGAGGGAAGGCGGGAGGGAGGAGAGATAGAGAGAGCGTGTTGGAGGGGGAGGTAGAGATGAGAATGAGAGGGAGAAGCGAGGGAGAGGAGGCTAAGAGGTAGAGGAAAGAGAGAGGTAGAGGTAGAAAGAGGAGAGAGAGAGAGGTAGATACATAGATAGAGAGAGAGATAGAGATACGAGAGGGGGAGAGAGAGAGAGAGACGGAGATCTGAGAGAGAGAGAGAGAGGAGAGAGAGAGATGGCGACAGGGCAGGCAGGTAGGAGACAGAGAGAGATAAAGATAAGAGAGGGAGCAGGAGAGAGAGAGAGGGAGGAAAAGATAGAGGAGGAGGGAGGGAGGAAGAGAGGAGGTAGGAGTGAGAGGGAGGTATAAAGAGAGAGGGGGGGTGGGGAGAAAGAGGGGGAGGGAGAGAGAGAATGAGGAGAGAGAGAGAGAGAAGGAGGGGGAGGGAAAGAGAAAGGCCAGAGGGTAGAGAAAGGAGAGGTTAGAAAGAGAGAGAAAGGGAGGGAAAGGGAAGCAGAAGAGAAGAGTAGAGCGAGAGGGAGAGAGAGAGAGAGAAGGGGTGAGGGGGAGGGGGGAGGGGTGGGAGATGGAGAGGGAGAGAGAGATACGGAGAGAGAGAGAGGTAAAGATAGAGAGAGAGAGGGAGGGACCGAGAGAGGGAGCAGAGAGAGGAGAGATAATGAGCGGAGCGAGGGGGGGAAGCGAGGGGGAGGCAGAGTCAGAGAGAGAGAGAGAGAGTAAGGGAGGCAGAGAGAAAGAGAGAGGTAGAGAGGGGGGGGGGAGAGAGAGAGAGGGGGGGAGGGAGGGAGAGAGAGAGAGATGTAGAGAGAGAGAGAGAGGAAACAGAGAGAAAGAGAGAGGTAGAGAGAGAGAGAGAGAGAGGGAGAGAGAGAGAGCGGGAGAGAGAGAGAGGTAAGGATAGAGAGAGAGGTAGAGAGAGAAAGGGGGCGGGAGGGGGAGAGGTAGAGAGAGAGGGGGGGTGGGATGGAGAGAGAGGGGGAGGGAAGGAGGAGGTAGAGAGAGGGAGGGAGGGAAGGAAGCAGGGAGGAAGGGAGAGAGAGAGAGAGACGGAGATAGGGAGGCAGAGAGAGAATGTGAGAGAGAGAGGCTGAGAGGTAGAGAAAGAGAGAGGTAGAGATAGATAGAGAGAGAGAGAGAAAGGTGGACAGAGAAGGAGGTAGAGAGAGAGGGGGGTGGGAGAGAGGGAGAGGGAGTGAAAGTGATAGGGATGGAGGGAGGGAGGGAGAGAGAGAGAGGTAAAGATAGAAAGATGGAGAGAGAGCGAGGTAAAGAAAGAGAGAGGAGAGGGGGAAAAAATAGAAAGAGAGAGAGAGAGGGGGAGTGAGGGAGGGAGGAGGTGTAGAGAGAGAGAGAGGACAGAGAGAGAAAGAAATAGGGGGGGAGAGAGAGGGAGGTAGAGAAAGAGGCGTAGAGAGAGAGAGACAGACAGAGAGAGAGAGAAGAGAGAGAGAGGAGAGAGAGAGAGAGAAGAAAGAGAGAGAGAGAGACGGAGATAGGGAGGCAGAGAGAGAAGAGAGAGAGAGGGAGAGGGAAGGAGGGAGGGAGGCTAAAAGGTAGAGAAAGAGAGAGGTAGAGATAGATGGATAGAGAGAGAGAGAGGTGGACAGAGAGGGAGGTAGAGAGAGGGGGTCGGGGGGAAGAGAGGGAAGGGAGGTGAAAGTGATAGGAGGGAGGGAGGAGAGAGAGAGAGAGAGAGAGAGAGAGAGAGAGAGGGAGGGAAGGAGAGAGAAGAGAGAGAGAGGGTGAGAGAGAGAGGGGGGAGGGAGAAAGGGGGAGGGAGGGAGGGAGGTAGAGAGAGAGAGGGGGAGGGAGGAAGGGAGGGAAGGAGGGAAGGAAGGAGGGAGGGAAAGAGAGAGAGAGACGGAGAGAGGGAGAGAGGAGGGGGGCGAGGCAGAAAGAGAATGAGAAAGAGAGGGAGAGGGAGGGAAAGGGAAGGAGGGAGGGAGGCAGAGAGGTAGAGAAAGAGAAAGGTAGAGGTAGATAGAGAGAGAGGTAGACAGAGAGGGAGGTAAAGAGAGAGAGAGGGGGGGAAGAGAGGAGAGAGAGTGGGAGTAAGAGAAAGGGTTAGGAAAGGAGGGAGGGAGGGAGGGAGAGACAGAGTGAGAGAGAGAGAGAGAAGAGGAAAGAGAGAGAGAGAGAGAGAGAGAGAAGAGAAGAGAGAGAGAGAAAAAAAAGAGAAAGAGAGAGAGAGAAAAAAGACAAAGAGAAAGAGAGAGAGAGAGAGGGAGTGAGGGAAGGAGGGAGGTGTAGAGAGAGAGAGAGAGAGAGAGAGAGAGAGAGAGAGATGAGATTGAGAGGGGGACAGACAAGGAGAGAGAGAGAGAAAGAAAACGGTGGGAAGAGAGAGGGAGTAGAGAAAGAGGGCGTAGAGAGGATGTTGAGAGAGAGAGAGAGAGGGAGAGGATGAGAGGAGAGAGAGAGATTTTTTCGACAGACAGACAGGACAGAGAGAGAGAGATGAGAAAAGAAGAAACATCGGGGGGGGGAGAGAGAGGGAGGTAGAGAAAGAGGCGTAGAGCGAGACGAGAAGAGAGAGAGAGAAAGAGAG